GAGTTTCCAGTTCACAATGTGGACTCTTCAGTTCAGCAAACAACAGCTCCACTCCTGAGTCCTGCAGGTCGTTGTTACTCAGGTCCAGGAGTCTCAGACTAGAGGACTGGGAGCTGAGAACTGAGGACAGAGCTTCACAGCTTCTTTCTGACAGGTTACAGCCGCTCAGCCTGGAGGTGAATGTAGTTAGTTAATACTCAGGTAAAATTGATTAAATCAATAACTGTTTAATGGTTAAATTAGTTAGAAGCTGACCTGAGAGTTTCCAGTTCACAATGTGGACTCCCCAGTCCAACAGACAACAGCTTCACTCCTGAGTCCTGCAGGTCGTTGTTACTCAGGTCCAGGAGTCTCAGACTAGAGGACTGGGAGCTGAGAACTGAGGACAGAGCTTCATAGCTTTTCTCTGACAGGTTACAGCTGCTCAGCCTAGAAATGAATGTAGTCAGTTAATACTCAGGTCATATATGTTAAGTCACAACCATTATATTATTAATTAATATGGTACAGTATTAATATTTTATTACTTAGTCATAGCTATTATTTTATCTTATTAATTCACACTTGCTTTTCTTCTCTCTTATGTGAATTTGTAAAGCTCAAAACAAATTCAAACATGTACACACATATACAGTAATGTATAAATATTTATATGTACGAGAGTGAACACATGTACATTTGAAAAAAATACTTGAGCCATGACCTGAGAGTTTCCAGTTCACAATGTGGACTCCTCAATCCAACAGACAACAGCTTCACTCCTGAGTCCTGCAGGTCGTTGTTACTCAGGTCCAGGTGTCTCTGACTGGAGGACTGGGAGCTGAGAACTGAGGACAAAGCTTCACAGCTTCTTTCTGACAGCTTACAACTGCTCAGCCTAGAGATGAATTTAGTCAGTTAATTCACAGCTCAAATATGTTAAGTCAATGAGAGCTTAATGGTTAAATTTGTGAAGATAATTGAATCATGACCTCAAAGTTTCCAGTTCACAATGTGGACTCCTCAGTCCAGCAGACAACAGCTCCACTCCTGAGTCCTGCAGGTCAGGAACCACATATAGGTCTACACACGGCCCTGCTGACTCAGTTTGGAGGACTGGGAGCTGAGAACTGAGGAAATCAGCCCTCAGAAGGAAGAACTCAGCATCACACAGCTCTGACTCTGGACACAGGACAAATATCAGGTCTTCATTTGACAAGAAGAACTTACAGCTGCTGAAGCCAGTTT